ATATTGTTTTTAATTTTATTTTCTATATATATTTATTAAAGGGAAAAAGAAGTAAAAAATAGAAACAAAGTGTCGCCGGTAATCATGGTAACTTTGCTATCGTTGTTGCTGAAGATAGAAAGCGCTCGTTTTATTCTGCCGTTTAATAATATTTCTAGCGCAGAGCACGGAAAATATATTTCCAAAAAATACATGACATTTTTTTTTTTCATAATTTTGCATTGACATTTTTTTTTTAAACTACAAGAAATGAATATAAACACAAAAATACATTTGTATGAAAATAAATATATATAAAGGCGAAGCAGAGCGGAGAGAATGAGGAGCTGGAGTGTAACAATGTTATAAAGGGGAATAGTTCCATTAAAAAGAAAAATAAACTTTGTTTTCTACTTTTAGGTTTTCTTCAGCAATCCTTCATAAAAAAAAATACAGATTTGCTGCGTTTAGTTCCTCTGACACCTGAAATTGCAACAATGTGTCAGTGTTTGTTATCATTTTATCATACATAGGGGAGGAACCGCTGATTCTGCTGCCCAGAGATAAAATAACTTCTAATAGTAATTCTGATATAAAGAGTCGGATACCAGGTACATCCAACAACCAGTGGCGTAACAATCACCATAGCGACCCAGGCGGCCACTATGGGGCCCCGGGGCACAGGGGGGCCCGGCCAGGACATCCCCCTGATGCGGTGCGGGCCGCCTGGGTCGCTATGGCATCTCAGGCTGCTGGCTGTCACTGGCGGCTGTGAGGAGGAACACGCCGCTATTCACATGTGCAGCGATGCGTACCTCCTCACAGCCGCTGCTGAGTCGGTGACAACCAGCAGCTTCGGGGTGAGGTGGCTGGGCCCGTCGTCGGCAGCGATGGAGGAGGCGGGGCCCAGCGTTTGAGGAGGCAGGTCTTAGCGATGGGCAGGTGGGCCCGGCGATCGAGTAGGTGGGGCCCAGTGACGGAGGTGGCAGGGCCCGCAAGCGATCGTGGAGGAGAAGGAGGCGGCCAGAGGATCGGCCAGACAGGTAAGAGGGCTTGACCGCCCACCTGAGAACCTGCAGAGCCCACCACAGAGAGTCTATGGTGGGCTCTGCAGGGTCACCCTTGGGTGGGCTGTTTAGGTTATCAGGTGGACTTATCTAGAAATCACAGGGCCCCATACAAGATTTTGCTATGGGGCCCTGTGATTTCGAGTTACGCCCCTGCCAACGGCCTTAACTGGTGATGGGCTCCAACTGGTGATGGGCTGCAACTGGTGATGGGCTCCAACTGGTGAAGGGGTCCAACTGGTGATGAGGGTTGAGAAGAAACACTCTGGGACGTACCAGGTGCAACCTACAACCTCAACTGGTGAAGGTGGCCATTCTCAAACTTTTTACCCAGGAGGAACCACTAAAAAACTTTCAGCTCTTGGGGAACCCTTGCTTAAAAAAATAATCAGGGGGAACAATGCCACTCTTACAGACTCCTAAAAAGTTTACTGGTGTCATGCTGCTGGCTCTGGCCCTGAACTGTGCAGGCATCATCAAATGAGAGCTCAGCCACAGCTCAAGGAACACCTAGGAACCTCTGGAGGAACCCTGGTTGAAAACGGTTGGGTTAAAGAGTTTCAGATAAAGGACTCTGGATGTATCAGGTATGTCCTAGGTCCATAACTGGTTAAGGGGTTTGTGATGAAGGACTCTGGGATCTACCGCGAACATCCTAGGCCCTTAATTGATTAGAATGCCACTCCTACAGACTCCTAAAAAAGATAATTGGTGTCATGTTGCTAGCTCTGCCAAGTGGTGTTAGCCCTGATCTATGCAGGCATCATCAAATGGGAGATCAACCAGCCACAGCTCAAGGAACCCCTAGCAACCTCTGGAGGAACCCTAGTTGAAAATGGCTGGGTTAGGGTGTTTTAGATTAAGTCACATTCTAGGTCCTCAACCGGTTAAGAGGTTTGCATAAAAGGGACTCTGGTAAATATCAGGTGTGGTCTAGAACCTGGCTGGTTATGGGGCTTTGTTATGAAGGACTCTGGGATGTACGAGGTATGCCTTACATCCATAACATGTTAAGGGGTTTTGTTATGAAGGACTCTGGGATGTACCAGGTATGGTCTAGAACCTGACTGGTTATGGGGTTTTGTTATGAAGGACTCTGGGAGATACCAGGTACATCCTAGGTCCTTCACTGGTTAAGGTGTTTGTGAGGAAGGACTGTGGGATGCACCAAGTACATCCTAGGTCGTTAATTGGTGAAGGGGTTTGAGATGAAGAGTGACTTACTAGGGGAAGTACTTGGTGAACATCCCCCTACATAAAGCAGCTCATATTTAGATCCTCAGATTTGTTCCGGATTTCCTTGTCTTCATCTTCCATCCTATTTGACGGCTGTCAGTTTTCTGGTGCGGTGGGCATCAGGCTCTTCCCGTCTGGTCCAGTACAATCGGAGTCCTCGGTGACGGTGCAAAGTGTTTCAGTGTAATTGGGGTTCATCTTCTCCACGGCTTCCTTGGAAACTCCGACCCACTCCTGGCAGAGGAGAAACGATTAATCTATGTGATCATTTTCAGACGTCAGGCAAATGTCATCCCCATCGGGGGCCTAAATAGTGTCTAAGGTAACTATTCTGCAGAAGTTTGGGCACCTTGTAGTCACTCCAAGTACCTGTATGAGCAGATGTGGAAGTCCTGCCCTCAGCTGGGGGTCCATGGAGAAGGAGTTTTAAGAGGTACTTGCTGGAGATGCAAGGTATCTGCACACCAGCTGCATTATTATTATCTTAGACATCTTTAGGACCATGACGGGTAACTTTAGATACAATTGTCATCCTATGTATACAGGAAGTTGGTCTTGGTGAGATGCATGCACGGTCCCTTTAGTATTTCCTTCTTGGCAATGTATTAACCTTTAAGCAGCACAATGTGTTACACTTCCATAACTCATCTCAGTTCTGGGGAAATTGTGGTTCACTTAGTGTAACAAAGCAATTGACCTGATGTGTGTGACCCACCTGCACTTCCGTCATGGAACCAAACCCCCCTCCCCCCCTCCCAAACCTAATGTAATTAACCTGCGTCACCTCCACTCCCGCTCCCCACATCCTGGGCTGACGGCCAAATCGTACTGACACATCTTCCTGCCACTTACAGATTCTTAATTACCAGAAGCATCTACATTCTTCATGCCAACGCTCAACCTTCCTCACAGCCACAAAGGTCTAAAGTGGAAGTTCCATGAAATGATAATTGAATTCTGAATATTGCCCGTTCATAGGACAGGCCTAGTTTATTCTGGTCCCAATATTTCTACTTTCCCTAAGAACCCGAACTGGTCCTGAACTACGTACCTGAACGTTGCAACCATTGATGAGCTCTTCAAAATTCTTCCCGGGGTTCGGAATCTGAGGAACGAGAATCACCCAAATTCTGTATGGGGGGGGGAGGGGGAGAGTCATTAGTGCCAGCGGCAATCAGAGAGGACTGCAGATGACTACATGAGAAGGGATACATGGAACATCTGAGAGATCATGGTGGTGGTATCCAGGGCAGCCATCAG